GTCACGTGTAAAAAAACGGCTATTGTTGAGGTTAACACGTGATAGCCACTCAAGCTCACGATTTTCTGCAGTTAGTATGGAAAGTGCAGGTTTTTGACGGTCCCCGCTTTTTCACTTTAGGTGTTGTGGAACCAACACCACATCGGGGTTGTAGACACCGCAAAGCTAAGTAGTTGACCAGACAAGTGAAGTGCTACAATGTGATGAAGAACGGGATACGACATTGTAAGTGACATCTAGAGCCCTGAGTTCGTTGATACTGCTCAACAAAGCTGCAGATTCCTATCATCTTTGAACCTAGACAGGTAGGTTTTTCATTCACAGAATACACATTGGTAGCAGGCTTGCAAGAAATCGCCAATATTTTACCGAATGAAGTTACCAAATCGTCAGTCGAAACTCACTGAAGTATCAACGGTACGGTTTGTATCGTCTGTGGTAGTTATGGAAGAAACACCACAGAAAAGCCCATCATTGGAACTTCACTCACGAGTTACCTCCCGCAATCGTATAAACACGCCAGTAGCTGAATTATCCCCCAGCTTTATGCTACGCAGCTATTGGCTGATGATCTACAAGATTGCTTCTTTTCAAAACTGCTGTTTTGAGCAGTGTATGTCGTTCGCCTACTTCCGGCGTAAAAATTGGTGTCGCTACGTGGTTTTTCGTTCACTTATTGTGATGGTGTTGGTATGATAGCAAGAAACTGTCTTAGCAGAATGACATGAACCGATTCAACTGTGTTGTATGCTTGATACATATAAGTGAGGGAATATGGGTGAGTATGGACGCAGAAGTTCATGATAAGGATGAATAAAATCTATGAAAATGAAGGAAAAAATGCACAAACTTGAAAATCAACGAGTCTGTCACATGAGGAATTATCCGTAGGCTATGTCGACTGGCACAGAGGTAGGTCATACAGTCTTCAAACCTGAAGAATATTCACGTGTCCAAAGCCGAGAAAGAACACATTTTGATAGCCAAGGGGGAATAGTATATGATGAAAAGTGTCAAAGTACCGATGCCTTTCAAACAACTGGCTATGCGTTCACGTACAAACAGAGCATCGTAACACGATAACGTGCAAATTGGCCTGGATACTCGACTGTGACTCTTCAGATTAATCAGTCCGTTAACACTATGAAGATCAGCATCAATGTTGGTTTTTGTCAAAAATTAGGCTATTTGCCTAGTCGTTCTAAGTGTAGTTAATTGTGGGGTGTACAAGCTGAAATATGAATACAAGAAATGGATACTGGAAAAAATGGAAATTTCTAACACCGTGTAATAGATGTTGAAGAGGTGGTCTTCAAACATTTTAACCCAACGCATCATATCGATGGCATGATGGGAACCTTATAGATTTTAACATGAATCCATATTACAGATGCGAAGAGATTAGGCCAATATACAGAGATTTCATACTTCTTAGTATCTCATGTCATTTAATTATTTAACTGAACCTAATGAGAAGTTTCCTGATGCGTAGCGTTCACATGAAAATCTGAATTCTTCAATGAATCCTGTTTTGATGTTGTTCACCAACAAAGGATGATTGTTTATGACTAAGTGAACAATCAGGAATTTACATATCACAAACACGGTAAAATGCATATTCTGTGTTCTAGTTATGGTCGAAATGAAAATTAATTGCAGTGTTGAAGGGGTTTGTTCAATAGCATAATGAAGACCGGCAGAATATATGCCACAATATCATTTCCCATAACTTGGAAGAATCTCGTAAGAACGTTATTCTCCAGAATATATGTTATATTGAAGGCTATTTCGAAGGATTTATCTCATACACTTTCAATCACAAAAAAATAATGAAAAGGTTAGTAGAAGCTGAAGTATGAAATCAGATTGAAAGTACGCTAAAAGTATGCAGAAAACCTTTGAGGTAACTGTCTAAACTGAGCATACAAAGGCTATGTGAATTACTGGAAAGTATTTGCATTCTATTAGAATCCAAGCGTTTGTGGAGAGTCGTCTTTTTGAATCTCTTGTGTTCACTTACGCACCACCATAAGTGCCTTGTACCAATCTTTTTATGGTTGTATTAGGCCACATAGTATAGCCCATCATATTTTTCTTTCCAATAAACAGTGTGGACAAAATAATTCAGAACTTGAAATGTGTTATTGAGTATGCGAATCATTAAGACTGAAGGATTAAGTAATTAGCCTCAATGTTTGCCGACATTTTTACAGACGATAATCAACTCAATTAACTGAAAGTAGCAACCTTAGGAAAACTTAATTCAAAGGAAGATGATCAATTTCTTGTCATAGTTCTATAAGTTATCAAGCCGATATGACAAGTAGATTTCCAGTGTGACTAGCTGCAATTTATTGAAGAGTTTTGCATTACATAGTTTATACCAACTTTCAACAGGTTTCCATTTATCACAGTGATGAAATCTTGTTTATCCACAGCCTGGAATCCATGGTCAGGTCAGTCAGTCAGTATTTCATGAGAATGTTTCATAAAATGATTTTATAACAGCCTAATCGGTAGGATGGCGACAGCAATGAATTTGTGTGTGCAGAAATAACGCCATGTGAGCTTGGTGATATATGGAAGTGTAACTATCTGCTTAATAATATCCGTCAATATTTACATTTACATTCTGGCTGACAAGTGTTCCCGTGAGAGTAATCTGCTTGCAGATATACCTATGATAGAATGGCTAGAATGTGAAAAAGTATACAACGTCAGTATAACTGTGGTTGTTGGTCTAAATTCTATCACAGTATATATATCTGTTATCGGTGGTGGCCACATGACTGTTTAAACACTGAAAATTTCGACAGATTTCTGCACCATAATTTCATATTTATAATATGATGTTATCTGCATTCGAAAGAGATACATGATTCAGAGGAATAACATGTCATATCAATAGGCGTCGATCAACCACTCACTTTTACCAATTCAAATGAATCTGGAGTGATTCGGAGGTGGAAGGATCTGGTGAGGAAGTCAATACGGTTATGATCAACAAAACTTATGCATAGCTCATTCAATTTATAGATGAGAAACATTCGAGGTGAGTTGCAGTAACACAGAGAACAGATCCACTGATGGGTTGTAAAGTCAAGTTGGTAGTATCTTGGACAAGTACACATCATTCTAGCAGAATAAGTTGAGTCAACAACCCGTGTTGAAATTTCTTAAACATACCACACACTGAACTCATATGTAATTAATATCGTGTAACAATAGATGTCAACAAGTAAACTGATGAACAAATGAAAGGAATTCAGAAATGAAGATGCTGAATCGCACACCACTGGAAGACCTACAGTCGACTATTTCCTCTCACTGAGTGTACAGCTGTTGGTAGGTTCCCGTTCTGCCTGTAAATAGGCTGTAACAGGCAGTCGCTTAGAAGACTATGAATTTGGCAACGACTCTAAGGATCTGGAAGAGAGAAAGGTAAACTTATAAGTTAGCAAGCATACAGGATATATTTATACTTCATAAGAAAATCTGTGATAAGTCATGATGACATGAGGCGATCTCAAAATCGAAAGAAGAAAGTAGATGGGGAAGGTTTGATTCTATTAGAATATCCAAACCAAAGTCTATAAGAACTTACTCCATTCTTGTTCTTCACTACTCTAGTTAACTACCAATAGTGTGTTTTACACAAAGGATATCAGTGTTAATTAAAAGTCATCACTTCGATCCTGTACAACTAATCGAATTATGCAGATGGTGTGTAAATATTATTTCATATTATTATTTGTCCCTTGGGTTCCTAGTGGAACATAGGGATTTGGTAGCACGTCTCCATTACACTCTCTTCTCTCCAATCTTTTCAACCTGGTTCCACGACAGCCCACAAGCTCTCATTTCTTCCTCGCAATATCTCCTCCATGTAACCTTCACCTGGGATAGCCAACTCGTGGTTTCCAATCTGGCTTCCACTCGAAGGCCTGGTCTGAAGCGTGATGTCCCCAATCGGCCTTCTCAGTGTATGCCCAATCCATCTCCACTTCTTTCTGCATATTTGTGGAGCGATAGGTTCTTGCCTCGTTGATTTTTTGCCAGAGTTCCTCTTTGCTTATTCTTTCTGACCATCTGATCTTCAGTAACGAGCCAGCATAGGCAGTTGTTGATGAATTTCTGTAGTTTGTTGGAAGTCCCTTTCATGATGCGCCAAGTCTCTCAACCACCACATAGAAGCACTGGCTTGACTTAATTAATGTAGAAAATCCGGATCTTGTTCTTTATTCTGAGAGCAGATCTCCACACTAGTTTCAGGTTAATCAATGCCTGTCTTGCTTTTCCGATTCTGGCTGGCTTTGATTTCGTCGTCTGTGCCATCTGTAGTTGAAACGATGCTGGCTAGATAGGTGAAAGAGGTTACTTCTTTTGAGTTTCTGTCGTTCATGGTGACTGGTGCTTGTTGTTGTTGGTTGGGTATCTTCATCACCTCCGTCTTCTCTATGTTCACTTGAAGTCCCGTCTTCGCTGCCCCGCCCTGCCCTACCCTGCCTCTTCTGTCAACTTGTTAGTTTTCGCCTGTAGACCTTCAAGTTTGTGTGACACTAGACACAAGTTATTATTGGCGAAATCGAAATCTTCTGGGATCTTTTCATCGGTCCAGCGTATCCCCCTCTTCTCACTTCTCACAATTTGTTGCTTGATCCAGTCGACCAGAATCATCAAGATCATGGGTGGTGGTAGGCGGCAGCCTTGTCTTGCTCCTCTCTTCACTTCAAAGGCATCACTGAACTTCCCATTGTGAATCACTTAGCATGTGGCGTCTTCATATAGTTATTGAATGAGGCTGATAAAGGTTTGTAGTATTCCATAGTGTTTAAGCAGTTTCCAAATTACTTGTCAGTCGACGCTGTCGAATGCCGTTTCAAAGTCGATGAAGTTGAGTTGACTGCCATTCTATAATCTGTTCTATGATGATGCTTAGCGTAGCGTTGCAGTTTGGTCCAGTGAGTAAGTATATTCTTTTCCTTTTTTTTTCATTTCAGAATGAAGAAGTGGAGATTTCAGAGTTCACTGAAAATATTGAGGAGATGTCTACAGCTGAACTAGAACGATCTCTACAAATATCTGAAAGTCGTCTAAGAAATAATCTGAATGAATTAAACAAAATTACCACATCAACAACAGAACAAATTAAAGACTGGTTAGATTCAGCTTATAGTCAACAGAATAACTCAACATTGACTAGTCCGGGAGTTCAGATCATGGATACAGAAGGTAAAGACAATTTATTCAATGATTATGAGACAGATTAGATCCAATCATCAACACATATATATACTTGAACAGTGTCCAGTAAACATATTCACATGCTGATTGTATACAATGTTGTTCAACTATTTAGTCATTTATCTCAACATACAAATAGGCATCATACTTTATATGATCAATCCCATGAATGCACCTATCATATCTTTTCCGAATTTTTTCCAACCCTTTCTCTTGAAACTATTCTTTTGCCAACTTTTATTCATAAGATAATCAATCTATGACTGATTCATTGAATCTATTGAACACACATCAAAGATCCGATACCTTTTACTTAGTGAGAGTTATTCACATTTATTTTAACTCTATCACAATATATCATACTGTTAAGTTCGTTTGTTTTTTAAAGAAAAAGGAGAGGGGATCTAAAGTTTACTGGTTAATCAACTAGAATCTTCTTGATTGTATTGTGTTCTCTGATCTAAGGTGTTTAATCGTTCAGCTTTCATCATCTTGCTAGACAACATCATCAGCACTAACTTCAGTATGAAGTGAACTGTCATGCCTCTCCATAAGTGAGTAATTTAGTAGCTTGACATGACGAAGTGGTCTATGATGTCGTCTAGAAGGACGATGAAAGCGTCTTCTTGATTAAACAACCCAGCTCAGAGAACACAATACAACCAAGACCATCCACATAAGCTACAAATATTCACCACTATTTCAACTAGAATCTTGCTATTCACAGGATTGTCAACACATAGTTTGAATACCACAGACTAGAATTTACCGAGTATTCTTCAGTTGTGAAAATTCCATTCAACAGACTACGTAGTACCACGATCTTATAATGTAAACAGTCCAGTGACGTTTAGTAATCTTCATCAATCATAATGACTTGAAATGTATCATCTTGACAGTTTCTATTCTCCAGAGAATTGAAAAACTTATCATAGGAATATTGTTTCACGAGATTGTTGTGAGTTGAAGAATGAGATATTGGAAATAATGCGAATCCAGAAATACCATCACAATTTACCGATCCCACCTTCCTGCCTTATTTTCATGTATTCTGTGGTATGGACATTTTTCTAACCAGATACAGTAATCATAAAGATGTAGGGGAGGGGATAATCATACTCACTAAGAGGTATGAACGATAATACAAGTGACGTGTTTAGGCAGCTCAGTGAAACTCAAGTGCTACTTGATATGATGTGATATAAGTTACCATGACCACCATGGTTCATACACACTAATGAATAATAAACCACTAACATTCATAATTCTTGTAGTTTATACTACTGAAGTCGCGTGAATACTAATGTAGTGGGCGTTGCTGATAACAACAGATATAAGTAGTATATACTGAGAGGGTGGCAAGAATCATAGGGAATAACCAGCAAGGGGTAAGGTTTCTACCAAGAGCAACGCAAGAGATAACGCAGGCGTATTACAGTGGATGCTGCTGATAAGAATGTATGAACAGCAGATCAAGACCAAATCAAAAGTAGAACAGAAGAAGGAAACAAAGACATTTGCAAATGACTGGAGTAGTGCAAGGTGTACCAAATGTAACCAATACCGTACCTTTATCCAAAAGACCTGACTGGATATTGAAAAGTCATTCTGAATGTGTCCAAGACTCCAGTTTGAATCGTCTTACATTCTTGCCATCGGACGTAAACCGTGTTATTCAGAAAATGAACAGGAAAACAACTATGTAGGTCGCCTTTCATATAGGAACACTCAAGACAACTATTGTCAGTTAATGAGGCCGTTATGCAGGTATACTTGTATCTCCGAAAAGCCTATTAACAAAGATAAAAACAATGAGATATCATGTATTATACAAGAGTAATTTATAATTATTCGAAAAAACAATATTTTGTTATTATTATTTGTCCCGTGGGTTCCCAGGCGAACATGGGGCTTCAGTAGCACGTCGCCATTTAACTCTCTTCTCTGCAGTCTCTCCAACATGGCTCCGCGACTGCCCGCAAACTTTCATTTCTTCCTCATACAATCTCCTTCATGTCATCCTCGCCTCGGATGCCTAACTGGTCATTTTCCATTCGGCTTACACTCGAGGGCTTGGCGCGTGACGTCTCCAAAGAAAACGCTATGATATCGCAATAAAACAGTTCACTCTTCACTATGCTTATCTAAAAACTGTTCCTCTATAGTCTACTTCAATTATGTTTCTATCTATGCAGTGTTGAATACTATTAGGTTAGATATGAATGTTCGTGAGTATAGTTTGCTGAATGGGAACTTTTATTTAGAATGAGTGATTGTGTCTGTTGTTCAGATAGATAACGTAACAGCTTGTAGCAAGAGAAATCAATGTATTCTAAGCATCACTTCTGTTGACACGCCAGCCCATAGAAGTAAGCCGACTTATCTTAGATTACCAAAATACAAGGGGTTTTGAAATTTTAGTAGTTATTGATGGGTAGTAACTAGCAGCGAACTTCAGGATGTCGGCTTGGTACAATTTTGAACTGGTCAACCGGAAACACCTACCCCCCCCCCCCAAGTGAGTAAGAGCGTTCCAACTAAGACTCAGGGTGGACACTAACTGCTTTATTTACTAGATTGTCATCACTATAAACAAGCTGAAATACCAGACGATGTCGATGAATATTGAAGGAGTCACATTCGAAGAGAAATCCAATGATGTGGGTTAACTGTCAACCTATAAGTTACGACTGATAATGGTAAGCATATTACACCAAACATTAAGTTATTCTTTCGAAAAATTCTCTTTTGTTCTGTATGTCATTTCACTCGGTTATTGTACTGTATTTTTCTACTCAGTATTGTATGTTTCGTTTCGTCTGATTTCTTCCACATCAATCGGTAGCTATCACTTTCCGCGTTGCTCTATATAACTTACCTAAATGCATTTTGATGAGTAACTCTCACTACATATATGTCAACGGTAGCCGGTGAAATCGTTAAACACTAACAAACGATGTGAAATTACAATTAACAATGTTGTAAACGTTTATTGAAATGGTGAGTTTTGACATTCATTGGTAAACACCTTCAATGAGATAAACCTTTAAAAAAGTGAAACTTAACTGTAGATTATGATTATGAATGATAACTGTAAAGTTTTGATTAGACTACTGAACAATTTGAACAACTAATCAGGTGGGCTTGGGGATTTCATTAGCCAACCAGATCTAAACATTGAAGGGATGATTCTTTAGGGATTATTCTGGTGGTGCGAACTTGACAGGCGCAGAGATCAATCACTAATCATTCGTACTTGTTATATACCCACGAATACTAGAGAAAGAACGAATACAATAGTGTAGTTGGAATGGAATAATATATTTGTGAGGTCTTTCCAAGATACTGATGCATTCCAACTAATTGGCCAGAGGGTTGATTAAAAGCAGTGCAACATAACGCGAAAGCGTACCAAATAGTCAGGATACTTGACCGCATACCTTTAGCTTAGTAAGTTCGGCAAAACTGTGAGGGTCAGCATCAATGTTGAATTTCGTCGAACCCTAGGCTATGGATTCTGGAGAAGTGTGTGACGCTAGGGTTGGCTAGTTATCCAAGCAATAACATCGTACAGATGGAAATTTTTCAGATCATATTATCTGATTCTGGTTGGTGAAATCTGCAAATCAATCTGAGTGTCGCCTAACAGATCAAGTTCTTCAGTAGGAAACTTCGTTAGTTCATGGCACTTTTGTGGAAAAACTGATGTCTAACCACTCTATGCCTCGATTGTCTTAAAATATCAAGTTTAGCAACCCTAATCATCAGCGATGAACTGATAATCTTCTGCAAGTTGATTCAATTAAATTCAACTGAAAGACCATTGATGAATTTCTCGACGGTATACTGGATGCAGCATGAATGAGTGCAGATCATACTCCACCCTAATTCAAACTTATTTGCTTAGTATTCGAACAATGAAGAACGTAAGTTCCTAGAAACACTAGCTAGTTTTTAAAGTATGTGGCGATTCATTTATTTCATGATGGTGTTAACCACTGTTTAATATCAGTTGAAGAACCATTGAAAACCTTTGAGTACTGGTCAGCTATTTTGTCCTAGTATGGGACTCCTCAGGAGTGCGCATCAACAGCACTGCTAGGCATCTGAGTCATGACCTTCAGGTCTCACAGCGAAGGTGGTAATTATTCACCCAAATCGATCGGATTTTAATTGGTCCACAGAGCGAGTATTATTCCAGTTCATCAGTCGACATCCTCTTCATGTGCTACTTGATTGACGCCACAGGTCACATCTTCTCACTAGATCTTCTAGGTATTCATACAGAAGCATGTCACTCGATATTTAAATAGTAGGTATGGATATGAAGTCTGCAGTCTGACAATTAGACTGTTTAATGACTTCCATGCCTCTGATTTTATATTGATCCTGGTGACTAGCAGAAAAATCTAGGGCACACGTTTCCTCCTATTTGGGACTGGTCAGTTGGATGTACCTGTACCCAATAAGCCACTGGAGCACAGTGCCCACTCATAGTGCAACCGGTATCAGTTGTTGTAATGATACTTATAATTTTTCGTTGCTATGCAGGGTTGAATGGCTTGACCTACAGCCTCTGATTTTACTTAGGAAATCACGAATATCCTCATCAATAGTACTGAGCTTCGTAGATAATAACTACCATCGACGGGTATTACATGGTTAGTTAGGTCGAATAGCCTAATAGTAAGCTGATCGACCGTCCTTCCTCAAATTTGAGGAACGACAAGAACATTGTTGTGACGAAAGCAGGGAATGGAAGTGAACACCTGTATGAAGAATCATACTCTTCAATTGATGAGGAGAAAAGATCCACTAAAATGAATGATCAGGTTGGCTTCAGGAAAAACAAATCATGTGCGGATCAAATTACAACGCTCCGCTACGCATCATCACCACAGTACAGATCATAGAATGGGAGTCAACTCTTCATCTAAACCTCATCTAATTTGAAAAGGCCAATGATCGAGGCGTCGCCCGGGAAGTAATTTGGCAGCTGCTTCAATACTACACCTTTAGTGTCATAAACCTTTATCAATTTCATTCAACAGGTATAAGCTATGTGATTCTACATGTCGTGACTCACAATGGGAAGCTCAGTGATGCGTTTGAAGTGAAGACAGGTTGACAGGTTGACAGATAACATAAGACAAGGTTGCCGCCTACTGTCATCACCGATGATCTTGGTGATTGTTGTGGAATGGGCTGGATCATGCAACAGACAGCAGACAACTGTAAGGAGACGTGAGAAGATGGGCATACTCCATTTGACCGATGAAAAGACCATAAAAGATTTGCATTTCGCACATGATGATTTATGTCTAATGTCTTATGTGACACAAGCTCGAATATGCACAGGTGAAAACTAATA